GGGTTCAGGCAATTCTCCTGCCTCAGCCTCCTGAGTAGCTGGGATTACAGGCACGCACCACCATGCCCAGCTAATTTTTTGTAGTTTTAGTAGAGACAGGGTTTCACCATGTTGACCAGGATGGTCTCGATCTCTTGACCTCATGATCCACCCGCCTCGGCCTCCCAAAGTGCTGGGATTACAGGCTTGAGCCACCGTGCCCAGCTGATTATCTCTTAATAGGACCAAGATTTCATAGTATTTTCTACAGAGAGAATTAAAAAAATAATTCAGTCTGTCCTCTACTGTGACTATTTACAATTTATTTATTTTTTAATTAATTTATTTTTTTGTAGCAATGAGGTCTTACTATGTTGCCCTGGCTGGTCTTGAACACCTGGGCTCAAGTGATCCTTCTGCCTTGGCCTCCCAAAGTGCTGGGGTGGCAGGTGTAAGCCACCATTTGCAATTTGTTATAATATTTTGTTTATAATTAAAAATAAACTGTAAGCTGGATGTGGTGGCTCACTCCTGTCATCCCAGCACTTTAGAAAGTTGAGATGGATAGATTGCTTGCATCTAAGAGTTCAAGATCAGCCAGGGCAGAATAGTACAACCCCATCTCTACAAAAAATGAAAAAAACTAGCTGGGCATAGTGATGTATGCCTGTAGTCCAAGGTACTCAGGAGGCTGAGGTTAGGGGGATCGCTTGAACCCAGGAGGGTGAGGCTGCAGTAAGCTATGATTACACCCCTGCACTCCAGCCTGGGTGACAGAATGAGACCTTGCCTCAAAAAAAGAATAAATAGAAAATAAACTGAGTTATTTTTCAGCTTTTGACTCCTTATTGTTGATGCCTTCATTAAAAGGTGTTCCACAGTTTTTTGCTCAAGAGAGCTTCTCACCCAAAGGCAACCTTGGAGAACTTTAGCCTTGACCATGCTTGGCTTTTTCATCCCTGTTAACTCCCTTACCCATGTCCCCAGCTGAGGCTGCCGCAGCTGGTCCAACTCAGCCAAGTGTTCATCCCTTCTTCAGTCCTTGGAGGCAAAGAGAAGCTTCATGTGTGCAATGATCTATCAGGGGCTGGTCACTGCTAAGACCCAACATTGATTGAGGTAGTGAGGACACTGCCTTGCTGCATTGCCAGTGAGTAAGGAGTTCGGCAGGACTGGTTTTACAAGGTACAGGTCACAAAGACCCCGCTGATAAAATGAGATGTAGTAAAGAAGCCAGTCAAAACCCGCCAAAACCAGATGGCAATAAAAGTGACATCTAGTTGTCCTCACTGCTCATTATATGCTCGTTATGATATATTAGCATGCTAAAAGACACGCTCACCAGGACCAAGAAAGTTTACAAATGTCATAGCAACGTCTGGAAGTTACCCTATACGGTCTGAAAGCAGGAGGAATTCCCTTAGTTCCAGGAATTGCTCACCCTTTTCCCAGAAAACTAATGAATAATCCATTCCTTGTTTAGCATATGATTAAAAAAAAGTAAACATAAAAAACCCACAAAAACATAAAACATAAAAAAACATAAAAATAGCCAACCAGCAGCCCTCAGGACTGCTCTGCCAGTGGAATAGCCAACCTTTTATTCCTTTATTTTCACTTTACTCTGTTGGCTTGCTCTTGAATCCTTCCAGTGTGAAGGCAAATACTATGTATTTTCTATTTTTTACGATTTTTAAAATTTTTTCGTAGAGACAAGTTCCCACTACGTTGCCCAGGCTGACCTTGAACTTCTGGGGTCATGGGTGAGACCTCTCTAACAATGACATATTAATAAGAAAACAAAACAGCAAACAAATTTATTTAATGTAAGTTTTATGTGATGTGAGAGTTTTGATAAATGAAGACCCAAAGAAATGGGAAAATCTGTGTATTTTTATGGAGAGTTGTGCAGAAGTATGATTGGAGGACAAAAGGGTATGATCTACCAGTAACAAACTGGGGGGACTTTAGCAAGGACTGTTGTTCAGATTCTTCCTGGCCTCTTTGTGTCTTCACTACTTTCCTCCAGGAAGAAGGTCTTAGGGTTCATGACCTGCTTCCGGGAAGAAGGGTAGGAGAAGGCCAGAGAGAACTTCCTGCTTCTGCTGTTTTCTCAGATTCCATAGTTCCATATTTTGGGTGAGCATGTCCTGTCCTGAGCATCATCATCTTAACATCTTAACAGTTCTGCCTTCTCATTTGTGGAAGCTTTCTAGCCTTATTGGTTGAATAATTGGAGTCTGCAGGAGTTGATCATAATGGGGTTCAGAATTCTCTACCCCAAAATAGGGTACCTTGGCAAACTGAATATTTTAAGATAAAGGAATTTGAGAAAATGGCAGAAGCAGGAAGGTCACTCTCATCTTCCCCCCATTTCTCCCCTGAAGCAGGGCATAAAACCTAGGAAAGATTTTTCTGACTTACGTCTGAAGCAGGTCATATGACCCTCATGTGAGAGGTGCCCTCTCTATACCTGGAGGAAAAGAACATCCTTATCTCCGAAGACACCGGGTCACAGAAAAGAATCTGAACAAACAGGCCTTGCTAAATTCCCCCCAGTATTTTGCCAGTAGATTATGCCCCCTTTCCCCAACATATTTCTCTGTGACTGTCCATTCATCAAACATACCATAAAAATATACAAATTTAACTCTTTTTTGGGGTCTTCATTTCCTTTTTTTTGAGATGGAGTTTCGCTCTCGGTACCCAGGCTAGAATGCAATGGCGCGATCTCGGCTCCCTACAACCTCCACCTCCAGGGTTCAAGAGGTTCTCCTGCCTTAGCCTCCCAAGTAGCTGAGACTACAGGAACTCACCACCACATCCAGCTAATTTTGTATTTTTAGTAGGGATGGGGTCTCACCATGTTGGCCAGGATGGTCTCTATCTCTTGACCTCATGATCCGTCTGCTTCAGCCTCCCAAAGTGCTGGGATTACAGGTATGAGCCACTGCGCCCAGCCTTCATTTCCTTACTAAGGCTCCCATGTCACATAAAACTTATATTAAATAAATTGTATCTTTTTCTCTTATTAATCTGCTTTTCATTAGAGGGGCCTCAGCCAGGAACCTATGATGGGCCGAAAAACAAAAAGCTCTCGTCTTCGACAACTGGATGGTAGTATCTTTAGCATTTGCATTTGTTGTGGGGAGATGAAACTTCATGAACACAGAGATAGTGTATAGTGAACTGACATATAGCGTTTTTGCTTGAAAAAAAGAT